CTGACGCGATCATGTGACTGTGTGTGTCCAGACCTGCTTCCCCATCGTCCTCCACTACCTGACGCTCATACGCAACGTCTCCATGGGAATCGTCTTCGCGCTCGCCGCCCTGGCGGTGAGTTTTTCCTGCAGTCTTTGAACGCATCACACATTGTTGACATTACATGAAACATTGCCCCCCCCCTCGTCTCCTCCAGCTGCTCGGCATGGCGCTGTCCTCCACCATCATCCACCAGATGCGTTACCCGGGCCGCTCCACCCTCATGATGACGGTGCCGTCCATCTTCACCTTGCCTCCACCCAAATACCAGGAGCTGCACAACCCCCCCGGGTACTAGAGGGGGGGCTTTCTGTCTCAGGGGCTGGTTTGGGCCGATTGGGTCCTCGGATGCCAAAGTGCCTTCTGGGAACTGTTAACCACTGGGGTTCCTTGTCAGTTAGCTTAGAGACGATCTGATTGGTTGTTGCAGTGTGGGGGCGGGGCTTATTGGGCGGCACAGAGAGGGTCGTTGAGGTTTTGTTCAATTTTTACTTTTTTCAAAGGAAAATGTCATTTAGACCAGTTGTCAATTATAATAAAATGAAGATGACAATAATTTGAGGCCCGATTGAAGGAAATCGAAGACGTCTTGATTTCTAGGCTTTAATCTCTAAATCTCTTTTTGTAGAGACTTAAAATCTGTTGTTTAGTTTAATTCTTAAAGTCCCGAAGTTATGAGGAACTGAAAATCCATTTGAGCCAAACTCAAAGACAGGAAAGTGAATTGAAAGTTTTATTTTTTAGTGGAATATTACTTGATTTACTTAAAAATTGTTTTTACTGTAAAATTTTACTGTAAAATTTTACTTTTAACCGTCCCTTAATATCTTATTTGTCAAACATTAAAACGTAATTTATTTTCTAACCAATCACCAGCCAGCTGTCGCTCATGTTGACACTTTATTTAGTTAAATATCATGTGTGTGTATTTACATCCTGTCGGGTTTGTTAAATGTCTTTTCTTTCCCTGTTAAACCTTTTGATTCTAAAACATTTTCCCATAATTATGTAAAAACCGATGACGTTAAGGCTTTTAGTTTGAAAACTGAGAGCCGCTTTGAGACCCTCTGACAAAAATGTGACGTGAAGTTTCTTATGTTTTTAATTAAAGTCAATTTAAATAAATTCATGAAGAGCTTTTTTAAGGAATGTAAAGAATGAAACTGAAGAAAAAGGGAAATAATCTTTTGTATCTTTTTAGATTTTCTGCTTGAACTGACGGCTTCAAAATAAAAGATCAAAACACTACCTGCCTCTTTGGAGTACTTTTAGGAAAGACTAGTACATATTGTAGTAAATGAAGTACTTTCAGTATATATTGTAGTGAACTGAAATACTGTGAGTATTTAAATACTTCAGTAAAAATGTATGTGAAGTACTTCTAGTATTCTGCAGTAAATACTGTATACTGAGATATTGTAGTAAATAGTACTGAAGGTATTACTCTAGTAAATACTAGAGGTAATGTGTACATAGAGTACCTTGAGGGTAAACTAGTGTTGTGTGGGTTATTAATGATGTTGCCGTTTGACTACATTTAAGTTTAGTTTAACACAACTGTAATAATATAATAATAAATGATCCAAACTTTATTGATCGTGAGTTTTCATCATCAGTTCATTACTTCCTGCCGACGATCAATAGTTTAGTATACTTTGACTATAATAACAATATGAAACCGTTCTACCCAGAAGAGTGAAATAAAGTCAGCGTTACAAAGTTATAATCGTTTTCTTTCCAAAACATTTTCAGTCATTTACAAAATGATTTTTCATTTTGTTTTTTCTTAATCAGAAGATGATTATTTCCCAAAAGGACAGCAGTATAAGTACACAGAAAATACTGAGTGCAGTGAACACAAATTATTAAATAATCAGACGATCAGATTTCTTTATTCATCAGTTTCAAAGTAAAACAGATTTAAAAGTATTTAATAGAACTCAAAATGCCAGTTTTAAACACAGAGGAGGAGGAGGAGGAGGAGGAGGAGGAGGAGGAGGAGGAGGAGGAAGGAGCAGCGTGAGGGCACAATTATGTTATTTAAAGGTTATTAAATCAATTAGACGAGTTAACGGACAATATATATATATATATATATATGTATATATATATATGTGTATATATACACTGTATCAATTTAGTAAACAACATATGAAATCTAGAAATAAATACATTTTTTCAATTCATTGTGTAGTTTCATGCAGCATCAACAGAAACAGACAAATATGAAAGAATTCATTGATCAGCTGAAACTTTCTCTTTTTCATAAGCTGAATATTTGAGTAGTTTGAATGTGTTTTTAATTGTTTTAAAGTCACTGAAACTTAATGTTACAATAAACATGTACATGTATGATTATGTTGGAAGGGTTGTTTGAAATTGGTAATTAATATTACTTGTTTTTTTCACATGTACGTACATTTACAAATCAAAGGAATTTAAAACAATTAAAAGGAATCAGCTTTCTCTCAGTTTATCATCAACTGAATATTAGTATGTAAAACTGTTGAAACTGCTATAAAATGTGATGTCATGATAGGAAGCTTTAGAGAACAAGTTGTGTCGCGGCGTGTCAGCTGAGATGAGACGGCGTGTGTCCGGCGCCCAGGAGGCCACTCGGTGTCTCGTGATGATCAGATGTGTCTCAGGATAAAGACCACGACGCTCCTCGTACACTGAGATCATTGTGAGACATCATTGTGTTCGTACAGTTAACGTGTGTCCGGCTGGAAAGAAAAACCTCAGAGTCGGCGCGTGACGTACGCGTGTCAACTGGGGCGCCGCTTCGCCAACATCAAATATCCCGTTTAGATGATTTTACATCTAACAAAACGTTGGATGCATATTTTGATAAATGTTTTAGATTCTTTATTTTTTCCCCATAAATCACCTGCAGCGGCTTATAAACTGGAATAATCTGTATTTTATTTTTAGATTCAGATTCAGATTTTAACTTGAAAACAAAAAGAAACCTGAAAACAAAACACACGTTAGCTTTTTACCTTTGGGAATAATATGTAGTATCTCAGGTGATTAACCAGTTAGTGACAACAGTCCGTGTATAAACGCCGGCGGATGTACATATAAAAGATATATTCCTTATTCATAATATTTAGAGCACTTCTACCTCTTTAACTTGCTGTCAGAAACACACCAGCTGGGCATCATGAAACCTTCTAAGCGTCACGTGCACAAACAGGAGGAATCAGAACATTCTGACCAGCAGGGGGCGCCGCTCCTCCCAGGACGGGAAACATGTGGACACTTGGAGATAAATATGACGATTAATGAAGGTTTATACAATGTCTGTTTGCATGTTTTATCCCACAGAGGCAAAGAAAATAAATCTCTGCCGCCATTTATGTCCCTAAAGTTCACTTCAGATATTTTATTGAACACAAACAGCTCTCGTGCTTCAAGTTTGAATCGCTGCGTCTGGAGCGCCGCTGTGATTACTGATGAAAATCAAATGTATTTCACTCAGTTTGACCACGAGTAGCTTTTATTTTGAAGGGGAACAGCGGTTGAACCGTTTAAAATAAAACTTCCCATACTCCTTAGCAGCAGAGACAATAAAACAGAAAAAGAACAGCTGGGATTGTTATTTTTTTTTAGGACCTTAAAGCAACAGAGACTCAAATGAGTGTGAACATTTTGTCTGAGGGGCGTGTGTGTGTGTGTGTGTGTGTGTGTGTGTGTGCGGGTGTGTGTGTGTTAGCCGGAGGAGCAGCATCCTCCAGCGGGCATGGCTTGTGGTTCGTCGTCCACAATCTGTACGCCCCGCCTACTCGATGCCGATTGGCTGGCTCCGTTGCCCTTCAACCTTTCCTCGGCCTGAGCCGTCTCCATCATCCCTGGAAAGCAAAGACACGTGCGTGACGACCTTAGTGCGGCGCTTTGCTTCTAGTCCGGATGCAGCCGTGGAGTCTGCGTCCTCAGGCTGTGTGCGTCATGTGACCGTCCGGCCTCCGATGAGCACAAAGCCCTCGTGCTTCATGTTTATCTTCCAACTGTATATTCACACCTATAAGAGGACCTTTGAGTGGCCTTGACCCGTGACTGTACACGTGCCCCCAACTTATCATTAGCATTATTTAAAAGATGTCCTAGTCTTCATGCTAAGCTAAGCTAGCTGTTTCCACCGTTTCTAGTCTTCATGCTAAGCTAAGTTAGCTGTTTCCGCCTGTTTCTAGTCTTCATGCTAAGCTAAGCTAGCTGTTTCCGCCTGTTTCTAGTCTTCATGCTAAGCTAAGCTAGCCGTTTCCACCAGTTTCTAGTCTTCATGCTAAGCTAGCCGTTTCCACCCGTTTCTAGTCTTCATGCTAAGCTAAGATAGCCGTTTCCACCCGTTTCTAGTCTTCATGCTAAGCTAAGATAGCCGTTTCCACCCGTTTCTAGTCTTCATGCTAAGCTAGCCGTTTCCACCTGTTTGTTTGTTTTATTCCATCATCATTCTTCTACATTTTGTTTTGTGTAAAATAAGTGAAAAAACTGAAATCCGTAACAGGAGTGAAAGCTAAGCTAACGCGTGTGTTTGAGTTGTAAAGATGAAAAATTCGTACTTTTACAGAGATCCAGAAAAAGCTCCTCGATTCCTTTATTTAACTTGGCTGACGAGTGGTAATGTTTGGCTCCGACCGACTCTGCGTAGCTACAGAGAGACGGACGGACGGACAGAGAGAACATGCTTATGAATCATCATCAGTGACATCAATGACATCCTCGATGACATCACCATTTCTCACCTCTCTGCCTCCTCCACTGAAACGTGTCGGTCTTTGTCCAAATCTATTTTATTACCTAAAGAGAAAAAGACAATCAGACAGTTATTGATCATCTGAAACATGATGCATTGAGGGGTTTTTCTATGAAAATTGAATTGACGTATATGATGACCAGGAATTTAAGCTTATGTCTTTTGTTCCTCATTAGCCTTCATAATTTATTTTTATTCGTGAGATATAGATTGATATTGATTGATTGATATATCAATCAGATCAAAAAGTATTGGATAAAATTGGGCAAACAAAAACAGAATTAATTACAGACCTTTTTATTTACCTCAATTATTGTAATCAAATGTAAAAATTTTGAATATATATTTATAAATAATCATATACATTATTTGATATTATTAATTTAGGAGGTAAAACTCTTAAAATCAGTTTCCTTCTGAAGAGGCTGCTGTTTTGTATAATATGTAAGTATAATGTGATTAAATCGTCGGTCGGCTCCATAACAACTTAATATTACGTTCACTTTTACCAGTCGTGTGACCTTCAAGCGTTTATAGTCTTACTTAAGTCTATAACTTACCTACTATACACAAACAAATGTCATTCCCCAACATCTTCCTCAACTCCTTCACCCAGTTCTTCACCTGAAAACACACAAGAGGAAGTGCAAGTACATGAGTAGGAGATGGTGGTACAAGTACACACGTATGAGATGGTGGTACAAGTACCTTCAGAAAGGAGTCCTCGTCGGTGATGTCGTATACTAGTACTGCTCCGTTTGAGTCTCTGTAGTAGATCGGCCCTAAAGCGTGAAAACGCTCCTGACCGGCCGTGTCCTGAGAACCCAAAACACAAAGCAAACGGAACTTGTACAACTGAATAGTGGGGCTGCAACAAGCAATCAATAAAAATCGATTATTAGAAGTGTTGGTAACGAATTTCATTAGCGATTCGTTGCGTTGTGCGATTATTACGTCACTCGCCTTTTTTGGACCATTCATTTTTCAATCTGTTGTCATGTACATATTTGGTGCTTTGTTCCATATCGGTTAATGTTGACAAATATATTTGTGTGTCTTGTACTTTTTAATGCCATTCATCTCATAGCGATTTTGGAGCTATACTTAGCTGTGGTACACTTATTTAACTTGTACTGATGGTCAAGTGAACATGAGCTTAAAATTAAGAGAAATGAAACTTTTTTTTTAAAGCTGTTTTTTTATCCGATTTCTCAAAATAATGATTAGTTGCAGCCGTACTGAATAGATAAATGTATTCAAGCAGCAGGAGACGCTCACCCAGATGGCCAAGTTTACTCTCTTTCCTGTGATGTTGAGCTTCTTTGTGAGGAACGACGCCTGCAGAGGAAGAGGAGAAAGAGGAGCAGGACGAGGAGGAATGGAGGACACCATGGTTAGAATAATCAGGGTTTAATAATAGAAACCTGTAACAAAATGTTTCTCACAATCTGATTTACTGATGAATTTAACTTTTTTAAATGTTCTTAGTGTAACAAAACGCTATAAAAGGCAAAAGGGGAACAACTGTACAAAAGTTACAGTAATTCTGGAGCTGCACGACCCTCATTGTGGACGTCGACGCCATGGCAACCATAAGCAACGCTTGAGAAACGATACTCATAATTATTAATATATATATGTACGAGGCGGAGACGTCGTGTTTCCACTTCTGGTCCAGAGCAAAGCTATAGCTTGTTAGCTAACGGCGGCATTGAGCTAAAATGCTAAATATCGGCATGCTAGCAACGTATCAGGAGCTAATAAGTGAGATCAGCGCTCTGCTGAACCTCCGGAGTCACATGATGAGGACGATGTGACCTTTGACCCTATTGCTGCTTGGTCTGTTATTAGAGGGTCACACCTGAAGGATTAACTTACTACTGAACTTAAATGTAGTTTGTTTGCTGAAGAATCAACATTTAAGGGTATTATGCATTTAGAATAAACTACCTCTAAAATTACATTTTCAAGTCAAATTAATTAGCGTGCAACAAAAGAATCGAGAAAAACTAAATCGCAAATTTATAAGAAAATGAATTCTTCCAGATTATCCTGAAAATATATGAAATAAAATTTCCCAATTTATGAGGGAAACAAATCTAAATTCCATTCACATATTTACGAGATAATTAGTTTATCTTGGTGACGGTATCACACAAACACTTTAGTAACGGTGGATATTTATATACAATCACGAGAGCACATGACAGTAAGTGATTTTTTTTCTCTTATCTAAAAATTAGAGAAGGTAATTCATGTGTTGATTTTCTTTAATTATCAAATAAAGTAGGAAGTGATTCGCAACCTCTGAGTAGCAAACTCAGAGTTGAGAAAATTTAGAAAATCGAGATGCATCGATAATCGTTTTATCAGTTTAGAATCGATAATCGGTTTAGAATCGAATCGTTGACTCGTGAATCTGAATCGAATCGTGAGGTGCGAAGAGATTCCCTCTCCTACAAGTCAGACATCTTAGTATGACTGGGAAGTACTCTTACACACTTCTCTCATTGAGTACTTTGGTAACGTTACTGTGAACTCAGCAAACGGGCAAACGGGGCAAACAGGGGAAACCACGGGCAACAGGGGTAACACGGGCAAACGGGGGAAACGGGTAACACGGCAACGG